TTGTGCCAGCCTTCTCCCGAGGACATGATGGCAACGGCTAGATTTTCAACTGGGTTGATAGTCCTGTAGAAAAATATAGAATAAATATTTTTAGGTGCCTCAGATAGTAAAGAAAAAAGTATTTGCCTATTTCGTGGACTTCGAAAAGGCATTCGATAAAGTACAGCATGTAAAATTATTACAAATACTGAAAAATGTTGGAATAGATGACAAGGATATTCGTGTCATTAAAAATTTGTACTGAAATCAAACTGCTGTCGTAAAAATTGGAGATGAACTACACCGATGAAATACCCATACACAGAGGAGTCAGACAAGGTTGCATTTTGTCGCCCATATTGTTTAATGTTTACTCGAACCAGCTATTTAAAAAGGCACTTGAGAGACAACCATATGGAATAAAAATTAACAGGGAACTACTTAATGTGATTAGATATGCAGACAATACAGTAATTCTATCAGATAATATTGAAGGTCTTCAAGTTCTGCTTGATCGTATTCACGAGGTAGAAAAGGAAATGGGCATTAAAATAAACTCAAACAAAACCAAATTTTCAGTGTTTAGTCGTGACCCACATCCCGATGCAAAGCTTCAATTGAACGGAGTCCAAGTTGAGAAAATTCACAAAATGACATATATGGGACTGTAATATCGGACCAACTAGATCCAGACATAGAAATAAAACGTAGAATAGCAACGACTAAAACTACTTTTATGAAAATTAAGTCATTTCTTTGCAATAATCATCTCAGTTTAGAACTAAGGCAAAGAATGGTTAAAAGTATCGATCATGAACAAAATTGAAGCATTGGAAATGTGGGTTCATAGACGAATGCTGAAGATACCTTGGACAGCAAGAAAAACTAATGAAGAAGTACTAAGGAGCGTCAACAAAGACAGAGAACTGCTAAAGACTGTTAAACATCGAAAAATGTTTTGTCTGGGACATATAGTAAGGAGAAGTCGATATAAAATTTTACAACTGATCCTTAAAGTCAAAATAGAGGGCCGTGGAGGTGTAGGAAGAAAACAAGTTTCTTGGTTAAAAAACATTCGTGAATCTCAGATACCAAATGCAGGACAATTATTCCATATTGCAGAAGATCGTTAAGCCTTCGCACAAGAATGTACCTCAAATATACAGTGGTAGTCAAAAGTTCGATCCCCTCTCGTATCTTTTGAATGGTTATTGTTATAATAGTGAAATTTGTGAATTTTAAATGGGAACTTATGGCAAGTGATACCTTGTTTAAAAGGTATTAAGAATACCTATTTAGTCATAATATTTTTGTTTGATTTTAAGCTCATTTTGATGAATAAATTAAATAAATAATAAAATTGTAGTTTCGCATTTTGCATTTCGTCGGGATAATATTAAACAAAAACATTGACGAAACTGTAATAAATTTCACTCCATACTCCAACAGAATTATATTCTTACAATTAAACCAGAACAAACCCAAAATAAATATTATACAAGTTTATGCTCCAACTGCAGACAAACCAGAGAGCGATATTGAAACTTTCTACGAAGACCTAGACAACATTTTAAAATCCATTAAAACGCAAGATGTAACAATTATAATGGGAGACTTTACCACAAAGGTTGTGGAAGAAGGTGTTCCTTTGTCTGGACCAATTGTTGCCGAAAAAGCGTTGTTTTTCAACATAAAATTGAATGGCGATTTTTTATTCAAAGGAAGCAGCGGTTGGTTGGAAAACTTCAAAAATCGCCACGGTATACGGGAACTGAAAATGGAAGATGAAAAATTGAGCGCAGCAAGTATTGAAGTTTATTGAAGAAAACATTTCCAAATGCCTAAACTCCATTCACTTGGATAAAAAAATCACAAGAACGACGAAAAAACGAATATATAAGACGATGGTTAAGCCGGTGGTAACATACGGAGCAGATATATGGGACACTAGTAAAAGAAACAGGAAAAAATTACAAGCTACCGAGATGGATTTTATGAGAAAAAGCTGTAGATTGACAAGGATGGACAGAATCCGCAATGAAGAAATAAAACGTAGAATGGAGCAAGAAAAAGACATTATAGATGAAGTCCAGAAAAAACAACTTGGTTCGGTCATGTAAACAGAATGGCAGACGAGAGGTGGCCAAAGAAAATATTAAAATGGATCCCAACTGAAAGAAGGAAAAGAGGGCGTCCAAGAAGAAGCTGGCGAGATGACGTGAATGAAGCCATGGAAGGAAGACAGCTAAATGAAGCCGACACCCGAAATAGGAAACGATCGAAACTAGGGACGGGAAAACAACGACAGTTGTAAACAACCTGTACTATATATATATATATATATATATATATATATATATATAATATATATATATATATATATATATATATAGTATAAAGTATTGAAGTCTTTGACGAATATAAAAGAAAGTTTTAAGCTATGATCGATGAATATGGTTTGACACGCGATCAAGTTTTCAATGCGGATGAAACTGGTTTAAACTACAAAGCATTGCCAACGAACATACTCGTTGCACTGTCTGAAAAATATGCACCCGGATTTAAAACGCAAAAGCAACGAATCACAGCAATGATGTGTTTAAATTCCAAGTGCTGACTTTGATTGATTGATTGATTGGTACAGCAAAAAAACCACATTGATTCAAGGGATAAATATGAACGCTCTTTTCGTTAACAACTAGACACAACATAATACATGGATGTCCCAGGAAATATTCGCTGACTGGTTCAAAAAGGTATGTACTGCAAACCAAATTTGTTTATCTTTTTTCTGACGTCTTGATTTAGGTTTTTATACTGGACGTTCGAGAATACTTATTTACAATTTGTCACCAATAGTGATTCTCATTTTGGACAATGCACCTGCCTATCCTGAAGCCGGTATGCTACGAAATGACGATAAAAATATCACATGCACTTTTTTGCCTGCGAATACAACATCATTGATACAGCCAATGGATCAGTCGGTCATTGAAACTTTCAAAAGAAGATACTACAAAATATTTATTAAAAACCTAGTTGTGGAAAAGGAATATTCTTTGCGAGAATACTGGAAAGCATACAATTTAAAACACGCAGTCCACAATGCTATGGATGCTTGGGCTGATGTTTCTGAAGTAACGGTGAAAAGAGCGTGATATAAATTATGGTCTGAATCAACTCAAGATGAAAATAATGAACTTATGGCTAAACCAAGTTTTTTGTTTTCGTTGTCTAAAGATGACATAAACGAATGGTTAATTTGTGATAAGGACGCAAATGACTATTGATTACTGACAGATGATGAAATCGTTGAAATGGTAACAGAGGCGGACGAAACTGATGCAGAAGCTGATACAGACTTGGACGGTGGCGATGTTGATGATGCTATTGCAACGCATAAAGATTTGCGTAAAGAAGCTCGAGAAGCTGCAACACACATACAACAATTCTTCGAGTGGTATTCTAGGCGAGAAGATGCAAATAAAGTGCAAATATTTGATTATTTTACGTCGATTAAGAAATTCGACCGTTGCAAAATGTGAAGTAACAATAAAACAAATAAAGATTTTTGAATATTTTAAATCAAGATGATTCTACTGTGCTAACATAAATTCCTCTTATATTGTCAAATAAAACATACAAATAAAATTTCAGAGTTATACCATGAGTTTTTATTTTTTTTTAATGTTTTTTCAATTATCCCTCATACCTTTGGTCCGGTGTCATGACGGATAATCGAGGTTCCACTGTATATATTTTTAGATATACTTTTGATCCATATATATATATATATATATATATATATATATATATATATATATATATATAAACGAAGAATGATCACAGCTGTCCAATTATTAATTAGTATAATGGTAAGGTTAATTGGGTTAGCAGCTGAAATATATATATATATATATATATATATATATATATATATATATATATATATATATATATAGTCGTACACAAAGTGTTTTTTACTACTACCACTTCTTAAACCTGAGAAATCCCGGACATCACCTGAGTCATATCGACCAATATCTTTAACCAATATTATATGTAAAGTGTTAAAGAAAATGGTAAATAAAAGGCTGAGATAGTATTTAAAACAACAAAAACTCCTTATTCCACAACAAAGCGGATTTAAGCAAAATAGATTCACTATAGATAACCTAATAGACTTAGAGTCAGGAATACATGAAGCATTTGCAAATAAGCAAGATTGTATCGCAGTTTTTTTTATATTAATAAAGCTTATGATACTGTCCGGCGATACAATATCATATCAAAATTGCATAATTGGAATATCAGAGGCAATATGTTAAAATGTATTTCCAATTTTCTTCATTCTCGCAGCTTCATAGTTCGATCAGACAACGCTAACTCAGATAAAAAAGTTCAAAAGGACGGAGTACCACAATAATCAGTTATAAGCTCAACCCTTTTTCTAATAGCCATAAACGACATACTTCAACAATGCTCACCGATTGTTAAAGAAAGGTTATACGCTGATGACTTAGTTTTATTTGCCAAAGGAAAAAACCCTACATCTATTCAAAAACATTTACAACAAAAAATTAATCAGTTAGAATCATGGTCTAGGACTATCGGATTACAATTTTCACCGACAAAAACTAAATGTATTTTATTCACACGAAAACATAACACTCTAACTCCACATCTAAAGCTATATAATCAAACCCTTAGTTTCACAAATAATATCAGATTTTTAGTTATGGTTTTCGACCAAAAGCTCTCCTGGAAAAAACATACAGAAGAACTTAAAAAATCATGCCAAGCAGGACTAAATTTCATGAAAACTATTTCCAGCAAAAACTGGGGAGCAGATCAAAATACACTATTACATGTATATAAATCTTTAGTTAGATCCAAACTCGACTATGGTGCGATAGTTTATTCATCAAGCAAAGTATCAGTATTGAAAACATTAGAAACTGTTCAAAACAGAGCTTTACGAATAGCTACCGGCGCGTTTCGCACGACACCAGTTGAAAGTTTACAATGCTTAACAGGAGAACCACCACTAAGTTTACGACGCAAATACCTTTCTCTCTCATATGCTTCTAAAATAGCTAGTAATAAAGAACACCCTACTTATACCAATACGTTCACAGATCGATTTCAAGACACTTTCTCTACAAGAAGTCGAGATCCACCATTTTACGAAAGAGTTAGAAGAAACCTTCATGACCTACATCTTAAATTTCCTGAAATTCTCCCAACAAATTTCCCGTAAAACATATACTATCTCAGTGCAAAAAATATGAAGCAGCAAGAAAGAAGCACACTATACCAAATAATATAAAGGAAACCCTAGGAGAAAACATGAACATTAAAAACACAATAAGTTATCTTAAAGACTCAGGACTGTATCAATTATTGTAATTTTTTTCTAACTCTACCTGTATTATACATTTAGGTCGCTAATAAGCCTGGTGGTTACAGCGTAAATAAATAAAAAAAAAGTGTTTTTTTTTGCCATTAGTATATTAAATCGGAGTTTGGTATTTATAGTCATTTTTTCAAGTATACTAACCTGTCATAGGGCTTCCATCCCCAGAGATGTGCCGCACTGTTAACGGACCAAGTCATGTTTAACGTCAATATACTTTTCATAATTGAACAAAAACAGGAGTTAATGAAAGATTCGCCCAACATATACGTCGAGAATACTGTTGGAACAATTAATCCCAAAGATAGGGCCAATGGAACATAATACCTACAAAAAATATATTAAACTTTTGCAAAATTTAATTTTTTTTTTAATACATATAGACATAAAATGTGCAGATAGTATGGGTTAGTAGAATTAAGTGTTAACATCAACTGTATACATTGCTTCGGATCTTTAATTGCAACAGTAGTTTTCCTGGACATACAAACAGAAATGATTTTGTTTATCGTCACCTCAAGTTATAGTCTTCGTGGTTACATACAGTCCATCCGATGGATATTTGCACAAGTATGACATTATTTGCGCATTATTTTTTATATTACATCTCTGTTCTACTCGGAGAAACTAAATCGATGAACTGAAGCAATACACAATTACATACATCGGACAAAGACAGCCATAGGACGATGGTCGGTGATTGATTCACCTACTGGAAATTGTTTTGTTTTGAGAGCGTTTGTAGTCTGTTTATAAATTTTTTCGTGTCATATATTTTTATTTTAAAGAATTGTTAGAACGACTAACTGTTGCCTTCTTGTTCAATTTATTAGTAATTCAATGTAAGAATTTATTTATTAGCAAATTACAAATGATATAATATTTATTCGAACCTCTAAATTAAGATATAATTATTTAAATATGGCTAAAACCATGTCAACCATGTAATATGGCATATTTTTAAGGGTTTTTATTTTTATAGTATGCCTGATAAACCATTGAATTTTCAAGCACAAAAAATGTTGTTAAATGTGCGGGAGTGTTTTGAATTAGAAAAAATGAATGGACCTTCTTTGGAGCCATTTTCATTTGTTCAATAAGTAACATTGTGAAATGTATGATTATTTATCAAAATACGTATCATACAATTCAAACAATTCTTTATTTAAAAAAGTACTGCTGCATTAAAAATGTCACGATGGACAGTATGTACAAGTGTAAAAAGAAAAGAAAATCATATTCTTTCAAAGTCAGGCAAAAGTAGACCTCGCATGAAAAACCAGACAATCGATCTATCTGAGGGATCAAAAATGAGATCAGTAAACCCTCTTCTTTATAGTGCTGAGCACCTATAGCGCATTGGCGAATTATCTTAGAGCCAGACGTCTGTCTTTTGCGGCATGCAAAAGATCGACAGTATTATTTATACCTGTCCAGTTCTTTATGTTTCGTAGCCACTACATTTGTTTGCGACCTACTCCTCTCTTGCCTTCAATCTTTCCCTGGATGATTACTTGAGAGATTGCGTATTTTTTTCCTCTCAGAATATGGCCGAGGTATCCAATTTTTCGTACCTTGATCAAATTAAGTAGTTCTCTCTCAGTATTTGCCTTCTTAAGACTTCCTCGTTTCTCATCCTATCTGTCCATGGTATTCGTAACATTCTTCGCAACGTCCACATTTCGCAGGCCTCCAACTTATTAATGGAAGATACTCTTAACGTTCATGTTTCCATGCCGTATAACAATATGGACCATACATAGCATTTAACCATCCTCTAGCGGAGATTACAGGAAAGATTGCGGTTATATTAGTAGCTTGCTTGCTTGTTCAATACGGCATTTGTTTTGTTGAGATGTCATGTTATAATCATCCCAGTATTTAAACGTTTCACTTCATCGATTGAGCATACTACTGCAGTGTATCTAAATGCTTTTTTCTATTGCCAGCATTTAGTTTTTCCGCATTTATCTGCAAACCATGTGATTTTCCTACGTCGTTGACTGATCTGTTCGGTGTATATCACGGAGATGTTACTTATCGGAAACCCGTTTACCTTTATTTCACACTCAGAGCTTTCCAGTGCCTCTGCAAAAATAGTCTCCACATAGAGATTGAAGAGCATGGGAGACAAAATATACCCCTGTCACACCCCTCTTTAAATTTCAAATTCTTCTGTGTTGGTTGATTTGTTCAGTGTCACTCGTGCTTTTTGATTTCAGTAGAGATTCTGGATAACTCTTATATCTTTTTCGTCAATGTTAGCATTGTGTAGCACTTTTCTCATTGCGTCATGTTTTACGGTGTCAAACACTTTTTCATAATCGAGGAATGTTATGACTATATCATTTCGTTGATCCATGCAGTTTTGTACAAGCAGAAAGTTGCTTCACGTGTATCCAGTCCGCTTTTGAAACCAAATTGTGTCTCACCGCTTAGATATTCCAACTTTCTGAACATTCTTGTGTGAAGGATGCGAAGAAACACCTTAAGCAAATGGCTCATTAAACTTATCAGTCTGTGGTCTTCACATTTTGTCGCTCTTTGTGATTTAGGGATCATTATAATGGTAGAGTAAAGCCAATCTGTTGGAATGTAGCCGGTGTTATACAGGGTGAGTCACGCTCAACGGGACGGAGCCTACCGGGGAAATGGCTAAAGATATTAAAAATTCCTTTTGTAGGAATACGTAGGTCAGTACCGGCTACAAATTAAAATTTGTGAGATATATACAGGGTGTCCCAATTTGGCGTAATGATATAAACTTATACTTTTTTAAATGGAATAACCTATATTTCACTTTAATTTTAAATTCTACTGAACAAAATAATGTTACTTTATTTAACATTCCCTATACCTATTTTTGACCGGTTTCGATTTATTTGGGTTTTTCTGAAAATGTACTATTCGCGAAATTAATTAATTACACAATATCGCATCAATTATAATTAACGCCTTTTTGTCAATTAATTTTCAAGTGTCCATGCTTTACATCAGAATAATTACCAATTGAAATTAATCTACAGAGTGTTCGCAATACGAAGTGTCAATGCTGTATAATAGTTTGTGTAATTACTTTCTTAACGTAAATGGGACACCCTGTATTTTACTTTAATTTTGAATTCTAATCAAAAAAATAATATTACTTTATTAAACAATTCCTATACCTATCCTTTATAATTTTCGATTAATTTGGGTTTTTTTTGAAAATGCATTATTCTTGAAATTAATTAATTATACTTTATTACATAAAGTTAAACAAAACACACTAGAAAAAAATTAATTTACATTAAATGTTCAAAATGGTGTCCATTTTCTTCAATACATAACCTTACTCTGTGTTCAATATTTTGTTGTACTCTTCTTAGCATTTCTGGAGCAACTGTTGCAAACGCATTACGAATACGCGTTTTCATGTCTTCAGCGGTTTTAGGTGGAGTTTGATAAACCAAACTTTTAATATATCCCAAAAAAAAAAGTTCATTGATGTTAACCCAGGTGATCTAGGGGACCAATTGACAGCACCACCCCTACCTATCCACTTTCCGGGAAATTTTCTGTCTAAATATTCTCTAACGTTACGCGTGTAATGTGCTGGAGCACCGTCTAGCTGCAGAAACATTGTTCTTCTAATATTTAAAGGGATATTTTGCAAAAGTATCCAAAAGTCTCTTCGTAGAAATCTTAAAAATTTTTGTCCATTTAAATGACCATTAAAAAAATACGGTCCTATCACATGTTCTCCTATTATTCCACCATATACATTAAGGGAACATCGGTTTTGTCGATCAGTACATCTATATTCATGTTGATTTTTCCGTATTATAATAGTGAATGTTATGTCGGTTCACGAGTCCATTATTATGGAAATTAGATTCACCAGTGAACAAAATTTTATCAAAAAAATGTTGATCTGCTCCCGTTTTGTCTAGAAACCATAAACAAAATTCTAACCTACGTTCAAAATCAGTTCCATACATATGCTGATGAATTTTAATATGGTATGAGTGATATTGATATTTTTTAAGAATTCTGCATATACTAGTTTGGCTTACTTCAATCTCCCTGGCCATCGTCCTTGTACTTGTATTTGGATTTTCAATAACGGATTGAATAACTTCTAATTCGGTATTTTCATCTTCAGTTATCGGATTTATTAATTTTCGTTTAGTATAAAAAATACTGCCAGTTTCACGAAACCTTGTTAAGACTCTGTCAAATACTTCTTTACGAGGATGACGTTTTAAGAGAAATCTCTCAGCATAGACTATTGATGCTAACAAACTATTTTGATCACATTCACCCAGTATTAAAATCATATTAACTCGGTCTTCAATTGAATAATCTGCCTTTTCTATTTAATTGAAAGCAATACAGTTAATAGTTTGACAATTAGTTTGACAGCTAGGTACCTTTTGTTTTTTCATGGCATTCTTTATAATAACGAGCTATGTAATTAATGACATTTAATGTTCCAGGTAACATAATGCAAATAGATTTGAAGATACTAGATATTAATATAAAATTTTATAATAGTTTGATTATAATAATTGTTACAACATTCAAATACAGGGTTTTTGTTTAAGTTAGAGTAGAACTTTAGTTAATAAAGTGATAAAAATTAATTAATTTCAAGAATACATAGTGCATTTTCAATTCAAAAAAACGCATATATATCGAAAATTCTCAAAGATAGGTATAGGGATTGTTTAATAAACTAATATTAATAAATTAAAGTAAAATACAGGGTGTCCTATTTAAGTTAAGAAAGTAATTAAACAAAATATGGTACAGCATTGACACTTCAGATTGCGAACACTCTGTAGATTAGTTTCAAATGGTAATTATTGTGATGTAAAGCATGGACACTTGACAATTAACTGACAAAAAGGCGTTAATTAAAATTCATGCGATATTGTGTAATTAATTAATTTCGCGAATAGTACATTTTCAGAAAAACCCAAATAAATTGAAACCGGTCAAAAATAGGTATAGGGAATGTTGAATAAAGTAACAATATTTTGTTCAGTAGAATTCAAAATTAAAGTGAAATATATGTTGTTCCATTTAAAAAAGTATAAGTTTATGTCATTTCGCCAAATTGGGACACCCTATATATATATCTCACAAATTTTAATTTGTAGCTGGTACTAACCTACGTATTGCTGCAAAAGAAATTTTTAATATCTTTAGCCGTTTCCCCGGTAGGCTCCGTTCCGTTGAGCGTGACTCACCCTGTATATGACATTAAAAATTGTTACCATCATGTCGATGTTGTCATCTTCCAACAGTAGATGTAGAGCCATTCATGTGCTGGGTACTTGGTGTGTATCGTCTCTATGGCGGCTTTCCTTAGGGCAATGTCTGACGATAAGTTGCTTCGGGTCGTTATGGTTTTCAAGCAGTAATTCTGTGTTTGGTAGACAGCGGACCAATGTGGTTTGCGCTGGGAAGGGGCAGCTTCCCAGCGCAGGGGACAGGACAATGTGGTATCTTTCCATGATTTGGTTTGCTACTGTAAGCGGAGTGGTTTGGGTTTTAAGACGTGAGACTGCTTGTCTATATTCGTCCCATTTTTGTGGAAGTATTCGTCTTTGCCTTTCCCAAAAGGTTAACGCGTGTTGCTCTCTGCGGCATTGTATTGGTTCAATGCCGGTCTGGGCTTCCATTGATATAATCGGTGTTGATTTTGGAGCACCAGTGATGACGCGAAGGGCAGTGTTCTGGGCGACTTCAAGCTTGGAGGTGGTGTGTGTACTCGCAGTTATTGTAGCTTCACTCCCATATTCTAATATCGGCCGGACATAGGTTTTGTGTGTTGCTACCAGGACATCTTGCGTGGCGCCCCACTTTGTCGCTGTGAGACGTTTGAGCAGTCGACATCTCTTTGTGGCTTTCTCTGTAATGTCATCGATTTGGGGTTTCCACGTCATTTTCTTATCTATATACACCCCCACGTATTTTGTTACGTCCTGTCTTTCCAGATCAACTCCTTTATACGTCAGCTTGACAGCAGTCTGTTTTGTTGAAAGGCTAAGTACTTGAGTTGAAGCTAAGTTTTGGTTGTATTAACTGTTTAGGGCAGTTTTTATCCGCCCATTTTTCTAGATTTTTCAGAGCCTGGGTTATTACTCCCTCGAACGCTCTCAGACTGCTACTTGATGCCCATATTAGGAGGTCATCAGCATACAGGAGGGTTTCCAGGTGTCTTTCTAATAATTTCGAGCACATCGTTTATCATTAAGTCAAACAATTGACAGCTGATGACAGCTCCTTGTGGCAGCCCTTGTCTTTTCAGTCTGAATTTGGAACAGTGGTTGTGAAATTTGACTCTCTGGTACCTTTCCCCGAGATGGGATTTTATCCAATTGAATAGTTTGCCGTCAACTCCGGACTTCGCTATCTTATGTAACAGCAAACCTCTCCATACTGTGTCGTATGCAGCTTTGAGGTCTACTAGCACTGCTACTGTTGACATCTTACGGTGGAAAGCATCTTTGACTTTTTGGGCAAAATCGACTACATGGTCCATGGTGTTCCTATGTTTCCTGAAGCCAGTTAAGCGTCGTCAATCAGTTCAAGATGGGTTAAGGCTCGGTTTAGTCTGCCCAGAACATTTTTTTCGGCTACTGAGCTTGTGAGGGATATTGGCCGGTAGCTATCAGTCGGGCTCGGGTCTTTCCCTTTCTTTAAGGTGGGTATGACCCATCGAGCAATAAGACAAAAGAGGGAATCTAATCCTTATGAAAAGGAGACCAAAAAAGTGACCTCTGATGGCGGACATATCCGGAAATGCGAATGCGCCAAATTTAAATTTTCCGACACTTATCAACAGTAGCTATATAATATTTCGCAGAATGTGTCTTAGACGAGAAAGTTTTAATTAATTATTAATGATAAGAGTCTAAAATGCGACACAATTGTTAAAAAACTTCAATATAAATAAGATTTCATGTGACATTTGGGACAAACAATATCATAACCCAACTAAATTTGATGTCAAACAAGGAGAGAGACTCTCTTTCCTTGTTTAATGTGGCCTCTAAAGATCGCACTTCCTGTCTAACAATATGTTTGCCCCCACTACCTTTACATTCCCTCTATTGTCTTTTTGCTCGATGGTATGACCTCACTCTTTCTCCACTGACTTGGGACTCTTGAATTCCTTGAATCTTGAGATCTTGAATACTTGAAGTAGAAATGGAGTTAAGTGTAAAGCAAAGAATTGAAATACTTATGATGATTGGGTATGGAGACAGATCGCGAACTCAGATGAAAGTGTGCAATTTGTTCAATGATAAATATCCAGAAAGACCTATAGCGTTTGACAGTCAGTAAGATTGAAAAGAAATTTCGAGAAACGCTTTCAGCGATAATGACTTGTATCGTCAGCATAACAGATGTTATTTACATTTTCACCATTTTTATTGATCCCTTCTGTACAATTTTAAAGTGCTTGCATAAATAAATCTTCGGAATAAATATTAAATAGTAATGGTCAAAGTACACAGCCCTGTCTTACTCCTCTACTTATCTGTTGCGCATCCGCGCTATTTCCATCTAATGTTACCACAGTCTTCTGGTTCCAATAGAGATTTCTCAATATGTTAATGTCAGTGTAGTCGATCCCTTTTCTCTTTAGACATTCCATGAAAATTTATGTTTAACTGTTTATGTGAATGTTTATGTGAATGTTTATGAAAATGTTTAACTTTGTCGAAAGCTTTCTTTATTGCACTTAAATTGTCTTTGTCTGTAAGTTTATTCAGCTCGATATAAACTTCAACTGGCTCCGGAGCTCTGCCAGATTTTGAGTCGTTTATGGCATGTTGGACTTCAGATGGAATTTATGTTGGTTTCGTTCTTGTGTCCATGAAATGATTTTCAATAGTTTTGTCCATAATTGTTTTATTTTAATTGGGTTATTAATAGGTTTACTGTTTTTGTCAATTAATCGGTTAGGTCTATTTGTTCGTGATTATTATTAGTAAATATACCTATGGAAAATCTTAAGGGTGTGTATTCCAGAGACCTTATTTTTTTAACGAATGTGGATTTATTCAAAGCGAAATAAAACAATTACCTGGCAAGATATGTGTTAAAGGAGTTTGTTAAAAAGTACAGTGATAGTATAATAAAATTCGTGATGGTATGATATATTTGTTTAGAAATAAGAGCCTGAATTATAATGAAAAGTAACTCGTAGGTCTCGTATCATTACCTCTATTTTTATTTTTAATATTTTGATGTCTTTAATGTAAAATTTAATAAAACATGTTTGCATGGAATATATTTAATGGTACCGATATAGAATTATTAAGTATTTTAATATTTTTACTTACTTTCTTTGAAATTTGACAACGGGGTCGGCTTCAACATCACTCATGTCAATGGTCTTCCCTTTATTTTTAACTTGCGGATGTTTCCTCATTAATAACCATCCAACGTGGGAGAAAAAGAATCCCCTGTTTGAGTTATATGGATCAGCATCAGTATCAGTATATTTGTGATGTAGCCTATGGTCCCTGGTCCAAATGTAGATATTATCCTGCAAGGTAGCTGATTGCATCAACATTAGAATGATTCGTAAAGGCAGTTTGGCTTTATAGGCTTTATGAGACCAAAGACGATGAACTCCACATGTTACTCCAAAGGCACATAACAAGCCATAACTATGCACTGAAAGTCAAAAATATGATACAATTAAGTAAAAAATAAAGTTAGTAAGTTTTTGAAATACTTCTGGTCTTTATGGTAATAATTAGATAAACCATATTCAACATATAATATCCTTCAATAAGGGTAGACATAAATGAACTATTCTTGCTATTTCTCTTTGTCAACCATTTTCCATCCACTCCTGAATGTAGGTATCTCCCAATTGCTTCCATCTTTCTATACCTTGCGCCAATCTAATGCACTGTTTGCTTGCCACTGTTCCTATGTCATCTACCCATCCATTTTGAGGTCTTTCCATGCTTCTTGTTGTCGTCCTTGGTCTCCATTCTAGAATTCTCCGTGTCCATCTGTTGTCATTATATCGGCCTACGTGACATGCCCAGCTCCATTTCATTTTTGTAATTTTTTCCACAATATCCCTAATCTTCGTTCTACGTCATATCTCGGTGTTTCTAATTTTGTCTCTTAGTGATATTATAAGCATGATTCGTTCCATTGGTCTTTGCGTTGATTCTAATTTTTTGGCAGATTTTTTGGCAAGGGCTACTGTCTCCAAGCCGTAAGTACAAACTCTTAGTATGCATACACCTTTTTCTTTAAGTTTACGGGAATGGAGGTATTTTTCAAGATATATGCTAGTATGCCGAAAGCGCCTAATGCAAGTTGTGTTCTTCTTTTAATTTCAGCATCTTGATTTGGTTTTCCTAGTTTGATAACATGACCTAGATATACATAATGTTCAACATTTTCTATAATAATGGTTTTGTATTGTTATGTTTGTCTGATCTCGGCTCAGTATTTTTGTTTTGCTGTAGTTCATTTTTAAGCCTACCGCTCCTAAAACAGTATTTAATTGCTATAATATCATTTAGTTCTTGGATATTATCGGCTATTAAAACTATATCATCTACGAAGCTCAAGTGGTTTAAGTATGATCCGTCGACGTTGATAACTTATTGTTGTTTCTAGTTTCTTAAAATTCTTGCTATAGGTTGGGATATAAGAGATAAGATTTCCATCTTTGCTTTTAGAACTATACTCAATTATTGCAGTATACTTTAGAACTGGTCAGCACAGTTTTAAAGAACCCACTACAAGGAAGGAACCAGGAGATAATCCACAATATTCTATTTCAAAGTTTTTATTTATTGCACCTATTGGGTCGTCTCCTTCAGAGACGACCCAATAGGTGCAATAAGATTTCCCTTAAGATTTCAATCCCTTAAGATTTCATTTTAACTTTAGGTAGCATTATTCTAATGTTTAATTAAAAATTTAGTAATTGAAAAGTAATAATGAAGTTACCACTGAGAGCTTGTCGAGTGCTGCCGGTGAAATGAAGGCAACAGGTGTTAAACGTCAACAACGTGAAAAGACAGATGCCAAGAGGTCAACGAGTGACAGAACAACAAGGCGTATTACTACCAACTCCAGTACAATAGATCGGTTTATTTAAAAAATATGACAAAATTTGGTCGACAAACTGTCTGTAAAAACCAAAAAACTGAAAGGAAAAGGTGGTTGAGAACTCCTTTTTCCCTCCAGTGATCGGTTGAGATGAAATAAAGAACAAACAAGAGAAGTCAATTCAAAAAATCATATGTTAATAGTCTACGTTGTGACTGGTTAGCCAGCCACAGGGGAAGGATGATCAAACTTCCAACAGTCCAAAGGTTCATCACATTTGTAACTGAATTTAATAAGATTCTATGAATCAATTTTTAATAATAAAGTTGTATTAAACTATTTGTATGGAAACAATTAATACAATTGTACAAAAGCAACGTTGACATGAAATCATGAAGTCATGAAATATAGGTTGCATAAATCTAGGATAATTTAAAGGAAGAATTTATTATTTGATTTATTTTAATTTATATTTAAAAATTATTTAAAAAGAAATTATGTAAAGAAAACACCTTAGGTGACAATTTTTAAAGTAAATAACATAGTAAGCCTAATTCTGCAATATTAGAGCATGATAAATTTGGCTTAAGTTACTAATGTCAGTTCTCTTATTAAGAGTATTAAGGTGTTTAAGTATATGACACATTTCTAAAAACTGTCTTTTAACGAGATTACGTTCAGAACCAAAAATCTTAACTTCATTAAAATCTACTTTGTGTTTAGTGTTGATAGCATGCTGTGCAAGGGCACAAGTATGCTTAGATAAGTTGATATCACTGCGGTGTGTCGTAAGACGCCCCCTCAGTGATCTCTCAGTCTCACCGATGTAGCACGAGTCACAATCAGCACAAGGTAAATGATAAATGACATTAACTTGTTCCAGAGGGGACAAGGGTGTTTTGGTTTTTAAAAACAAATTTCTGACAGTCTTGGCATTTTTAACCGCAATTTTAACAGGAATGTTCTTCTGTTTATACAGTTTAATAAGTTTGTCAGTAACGTGAGGAAAGTAAGGTAAAGATAAGTAGTGGGTGGTAGGAGTCCCAAGTGCAGTACCAGGCAGAACAGTGTCATTAAAAGAATTATTTGATATTATTCTAAGTTGGTCACCATTGGGTATATCATTTAAAGAGGAACCATAGCTTTGTACAAAAAGGTATTTGTTAATGAGAGAAGGATAAGAATTCTCAATGAGAATATTTCTAAGTGATTGAAGGGATTCCCTTCGATTAACCGGATGTGTCAATCTATTCAGCCTGCAGCTTAAAGCTTTAATTAAGTTTAATTTGTATTTAAAAGTATGACAGGAATGGTAATTAATGAACCTATTAGAGGCCATAGGTTTTCTATGCCAACTTGTGGTTAAGGTGTTATCTTCCATTCTAATGATGTTATTTATAATATTAATAAAAAATTATAATAATGTTTTTTATATATGATAAGTTTTTACCTACATTTTTTTATATACCTGTACAACTACCGCATGTTTTTTTTTGCTGTGCTAATTTTATGAAAATTGTTAACTATATTTAGTTCAATTTATTGTTTATACAACATAATTATACAATGTCCATTGTCGTAAGCTTCTTTACAATTGTTAATATCACTGACTGCTACATATCTTTTTGAGGTAACATACTTAATAACTTTTCATTGGATGTTAGGTTTTTCATATTGTTCTTTTTAGATGAACTGATGATGCTATTAAATTGGATATCGAAACGTTTTCAATAAATAGATAAAGTAGTTATCATCTTTGTCTCTTTTTTCTCCAATTTTTGACCGAAAAACCCGCCACTATTCGAGTGATTCTTATTTTATATTGGATTGACGGTCGTACTCCTTTTCTCTCTCTCTCTCTCTCTCTCTCTCCATATATATATATATATATATATATATATATATATATATATATATATATATATATATATATATATATAATAAATTGTTAAATAAATGGCAGACTTATTCACACACAGACCGGTTTCGACCACTACAGATATATGGTCATCATCAGGTTTTTATAAAGATTTCGCTACAAGGTCTATTGTTAAGATAGCATAAACACAGTTGTGTAATATTATTTACCTAATTTAATGTTTTACGAAATACTGTAAACTTAAAATAGTAATACTAGTATAAACTTACTAAATACATATGTTGTCCACATGAATTTACCAGTAAAAAGTCGCCAAAATCCCCAAAGTGCCAAAGAATGAAAAACTACATATACAATAATATTTAGCCATACTAAATCTTGCTCAAAATTACCATTTCTCTTGATTTGTTCTTTTGATTTCTGTTTGCTTACAAAGCTTTGGGTTGCTTGTTGAAGAGCGACGGTGTTAGGTGACATTTTTAGCTAAAATTAGACAATGTATGTATATGAAATTAAGTCTTTGTATATACTGTATGTTGTAAAAAAAACTACATATGCATTTAGTTAAATGATATCTTATGTGTCTTAAAACATGATGTTGTAAGTACCGTTTACCTTAACGAGAGATATGAAAATTACATGGAAAGCACAAAAATACACCTGGTGTAGATGTGAACACGATATCCATATTATATGAAAGGCTAGGATGACAAGTCACACTTTTTGTCTGGTAGGGTAATTACGCCATGTAGGAAAGAAATCTGAACTACCAAAATCTGACATTTAAATCATATTTTGTTCTTGAAACGATACGTGTAGTTAATAATACTAATAATATTACTTACATAGTAACATAATTATTACATATTAATTAAACTTAAAATATTGCTAACTGTAATTTTAAGGTAAGAAGTCAATTAATTTGAAGCCTTATGGTAGTTTAGATTTAAACTCCTAGCGCCACGTAGGAAAAAAATCCAAACTACCGACTGACATTCCAACCTATTGAGTTAATCATGTTCAAGAAAGGAGATGAAGAAGACCTCAACAATTATAGAGGTATAAATCTACTGAACACCGCACTTAAGCTTACCACAAAAGTCCTAACCAACAAAATCCATAAACTAACAACTTTATCAGATGAACAACAAGGATTAAGGTCCAGAAAATCCTGCGTAGATGCCGTATTTGTACTAAGGTAAATCACAGAAAAGGCCATCGAGTACAATAAACCAGCACATCTATGCTTTATAGACCTGACAAAGGCTTTCGATCGCATCCAAGTCAAAGACGTCTTACACCTACTGTATAAAAGGAACATACCAATCAATATTATACAAACCATCAAAAACATCTACTTACATAATCGAATATTTCCTCAATCCTTTAGCCCTTGTCAGGGCGTAGTGACACCCTAAATATTATTAGTCTGCTGTCTCCATTGACTGCGATCTTGTGCCATATGGACGGCTTCATGTAGGGATTTTCCCACCAAACTCTTCATTTAGTCCACCCATCGTATTGGAGATCTTCCTCTTGGTCTTCGGTCTTCTACCTTACCTTCTACTACCAATAGTTCCATGGTGCCCGTTCTTCTAGCTATGTGGCCGAAGTAAGTTTGGTATGCTTGGTTTACTTTTTTTAGTAGCCTGTCTTTTATATGAAGCTCTTCCAGAAATGACAGGTTGGTTCTATGTTCTGTCCAGGACACGCGTAGAATTCTTCTATATACCCACATTTCGAAAGCTTCGATCTTACTCCTATCGATTTTTTTGAGAGTCCATGTTTCAGCTGCATATGTAGCAATGGGAAAAATAAGGGCATTGACCAACCTAAGCTTAGTATTCCTTGTTATTGTTCGGTCTTTCCATATTTTAATTAATTTAGCAGTTGCGGTTCGGGCCATTCCTAGTCTACGTTTGATTTCTGAGGAACAATCACCATTGTTGGTTATCAGAGAGCCCAAGTATACAAATCTGCCGACTACTTCGAAAATCCCTATTTGGCGTATATGGGTAGATTATTATTTGCTCTGTCTACAATCATTATTTTTGTTTTTCTGGTGTTGATTTGAAGTCCGAATTCTTCACTTATTCGGCTTATAATTGAATATATAATATATAATATATAATCGAATATAGGCAAAGATAAAAAATAGAAAACTAACACAGTAGTGTTAGTTTTCTATAGTACAACGCAGAGTCAGACAGGTTGACTGGTTAAGCCCACTTCTCTTTAATATAATAATGGACGCATACATACATACAATGGAATAATACAAGCAGTGCGTAAAGGTCGTGGCTACAGAATGGGGAACAAAGAAATTCAAATAATATGTTATGCAGACGACGCCGCATTAATGGCCGAGACTATTGACGAAGATTAACAAATATTTTCAATACAATAGCCAAGAAATACAATATGATAATATTAGAAGAAAAAATCAAATGTATGACAAGATCTAAATACTTACTATGATTAGTGTGATCAACTCCAATTCAATCGAATTCGGTACAAGGCTAAAAAAAAATAGGTGACCTCTGGGAATTTTCAAGGAAAATCGGGCCATTTTTTATTTTTTTTTTTTAAACAAGGACTGTAATACCACCATTTTATTGATTATTTAACATTTGTATGTTGACAATGATATTTTTGATGAAACTAAGCCATAATTGGTTATAATAATTATACTTATTTCTGTTAGTTTTTGACGTTTCGACTTCCAACCCGGAAATTATTCTCAAAAAAGAAAAAATATAAAAATCAACTGATGTTGGTTTTCCATGTTACTGTAACCTTAGGTTAACATAAGAATGTAATTATTATTACAACAAATTGTGGCATAATCCCATAAAAAATATAATTGTTAAACATGTCACAAGAAAACAGCTTCAGAACATTAAAAAATAAATCCATTTATATTTTGAATTGATCTCAGCGAACAAAGTACAGAGTGGCCCAAAAGCCTGGAAACGGCTAATTATCTCGTAAATTACTAGACATAATTATACAAAATTTGAGATACGCCTATTTCGGGATACGAGAATTCCATATTTGGTATTTGTAATGTTGTCAGATTTTCAGTTTCTCTTATATTACTAGTCACTTTGGTTTTTCAAATCCATCACCCTGTATATTCACTCATTATTGGAATCTCTTTTTCAATACGAGTTCAACCATATGTAACACTTATGATTTTATGTAGTCTGGAAGGTCTTAAATACATAAAACAGAAGTCTGGCAACGCCTAAATTGTTTCAATACATTTCTTAATACTAACTATTTTCAAATACATTAAAACGTAACAATTGATAGTTTAGAATATTTTTTAACATAATAGTTACGTTATTAAGTGTTCAAAATGTGCTCCATTTGTGAGTTGACAGCACTCTAATCGATGGTAGAATGCGTCTACCACATTTCTCCATGATTGTCTAGAAATTATTCGAGATTCATCGATAATTCATTACCTTAGCTATGCAAGACTTGCTGGTTAAGTTTTGTAAACTGAATTTTTCAAGTATCTCTAATAAAAATAATCTTTAGGATTGAGATCGGGTGAACGTGGAGGCCATTCAATTCTACCTTGTCTACCAATTTATCGTCCGAGAAGTATCTCATCTAAATAACGCCGAACATTTACACCAATTATCTGACGTTAAATTTCTTTCGATAAAAAATGGCCCAATTAAATAAGTACCTACTATGACTGACCATAACATTTAATTTTTGTGGTATTTGAGTATGGTTTTCACGCATTTAGTGTGAATTTCACACGAGTTCAGCTAATCAATACGAGTTCAACCATATGTTCACTTGATTTTATGTAGTCTGAAAGATCTTAAATGCATAAAACAGTGCAAAGTATGTATATTTTAATAAATTTAAATATTTAAATGGAGAATGCTGTGATTTTGACATTTGTTCACCATTTAAATTATGAACTAAAATTGACAGTAGTTGTGGTTCAAAAAGTTCTGCAATCTAAATTGCTTTTAAATTTTTTCTTTAAAATACCATTCTCTAAACCGTTCTCTTATTCATAAGACGATAGTACAAAAAACTGTAAGGCGATTTGAGGAATCTGGAGAAGTAAAAGATAGATACCGATCAGGTTGACCGAAACGAGTTATCAATGACAACAAAACTTCAGATATAAGCAAAGTTTTGTTGAAGATCCACATACATCCCCAGGCAGGACATGATGTAGGTCATTCTTCAGTCTTACGTTTATTACGTAAAAATAAATTTAAATCATACAAAATTAATCTATTGCAAGAATTAAGTGAAGATGACTGTGGTCGTAGATTAGAGTTTACTGAGATAATGATGGATAAAATTGAAAATTAATAAAATTTCGTTAACAGAATATGTTTTTCCGATGAAGCAACTTTTACACTGTGTGGAAGTGTAAATCGACACAATTTAAGGTACTGATGTGACGTAAATTCACACTGAAGACTGAATGCGTGAAAACCATACTCAAAGACCACAAAAATTAAACGTATGGTCGGATATAGTAGTTACTTATTCAATTGTGTCATTTTTTGTCGAAAGAAATTGAACGTCAGGTAGTTGGTGTAAATGAATTGAATGGCCTCCACGTTCACCGGATTTTAATCCTAAAAATTATTTTTATTAGGGATACTTGAAAAATTTAGTTTACAAAACTTAACTAGCAAGTCTTACAGAGCTAAGGCTACGAATTATCAATGAATCTCGAATAATTTCTAGACAATCATGGAGAAATGTGGTAGACGCCTTCTACCTTCGATCAGGGTGCTGTCAACTCACAAATTGAGTACATTTTGAACACTTAATAACGTAACTACTATATTAAAAAAATGTGCTAAACTATCAATTGATACGTTTTAATGTATTTGAAAATAGTTAGTAATAAAAAATGTAGTCGATGCGTGCTTTTTCATTTCAAAAACTTCAATCTCGTTTTTCTCAAAGCTTTATTTTTTCGTGAGGTAGCACAATTTCTCAAGAATGAGAAAACCGATTATTGTGGTGAAACTTTGCGCACTTAAAGATGAACTTAGTAGTACTGTTAACTTTGCTAACAGTATTGTTTCGAAAATAAAAAAAAAAGTTTAAAGTTTTGAAATAAGTTTAAATGAGTTTTCGTATCACACTTTTCCGTTTCTCATCCTTTTTAAAACACTTTTTACGTATAAAACAAGAACGAGTCTGCCGACTGAAAATCCTTTCGTTCAATCATGAAACAATACTATAAAGATAGAGTGTGCAAAGTTTCAACAAAATCGGTTGATTCGTTTTCGAAAAAACGTGCCTATTGCATGGAAAACAAAGCTTCGAGCCAAACTGATTTGAAGTTTTTACATTGAGAACACGCGTATCGACCACCCGTTATTCAATACTTCAATAATACAACTTAAAATTGGTATGAATACTCTACTATACTTTCATATGGAATATAAAAATTGAATTTTTAAAATTACAAGACCTAT